CAAGTCAGAGGTGTTCGAGATCTTCAAGAAGTGGAAGGCCATGGTCGAGAACGAGACAGATCTGAAGGTGAAGTGCTTGAGATCAGATAATGGTGGAGAATACGAGCTGGAGGAGTTCAAGAGGTTCTGTGCTACGAATGGGATTCGTTTAGAGAGGACTACTCCAGGGACGCCGCAGCAGAACGGCATTGCAGAGAGGATGAACAGGACCTTGACAGAGCGTGCGCGGAGCATGCGATTACATACAGGTCCCTCTAAGACATTTTGGACGGATGCGGTGCATACGGCAGCATACCTTATTAATCACGGGCCATCAGTTCCATTAGATTTTGGGATTCCAGAGGAGGTTTGGAGTGGAAAGAAGATAAATCTCTCACACTTGCGGGTATTTGGTTGCGTGGCTTATGTTCATATCAGTGACCATGTCAGGGACAAGCTAGAAGCTAAGTCACAAAAGTGCACTTTCATTGGATACGGCATTGATGAGTTCGGGTATCGTCTTTGGGATGAAAAGAACAGGAAGATCATCAGGAGCCGGGATGTGATATTCAATGAGGATGTGATGTACAAGGACAGGAACAATGCCAAGGATAGCCAAAGCAGTGGGAGCAGCACTACGGATACAGGTGGATCCGAGTACATGGATATAGAGGAACTTCCAGATAGGGGAGAGTGATGGAAGCAAGAGATTCAAGGCCAGATTAGTAGTGAAAGGGTTTCAACAGCGGGAAGGAGTGGACTACACGGAGATATTTTCCCCTGTTGTGAAACTCACAACCATCAGAGTGGTGTTGAGTTTGGTAGCTGCAGAAGACCTCTTCCTTGAGCAGTTAGATGTGAAGACTGCCTTTCTTCATGGTGACTTGGATGAAGAAATCTACATGAAGCAGCCTGTTGGCTTCATTGAAGAAGGAAAGGAAGAGATGGTGTGCAAGCTCAAGAAGAGCTTATATGGTTTGAAACAGGCTCCGAGACAGTGGTATAAGAAGTTTGATAACTTCATGCAGAACAATGGCTACAGAAGATGCAATTCGGATCATTGCTGTTATTTCAAAAGGTTCGAGTCCAGCTTCATTATTTTGTTATTATATGTTGATGACATGTTGGTAGCAGGACCGTGTTTAGAAGAGATAAACAGTTTGAAGAGGCAGCTAGCAAAGGAATTTGCAATGAAGGATCTGGGTGCAGCGAAGCAGATTCTAGGGATGCGAATCAGTAGGGATGAAGCTGAAGGGACATTGAGTTTGAGCCAAGCTGAATACATTGAGAAGGTACTTCAGAGGTTCAACATGCAGAATGCTAAAGTTGTTAGCACACCCCTTGGAAGTCAGTTCAAGTTATCTGAGGAGCAATCGCCTAAGACAGATGCAGATAGAGAGCATATGAGCAGGGTGCCATATTCTTCGGCCATTGGGAGTCTCATGTACGCGATGGTTTGCACGAGGCCGGACATCGCCCATGCAGTGGGAGTTGTGAGCAGATTTGCAAGCAATCCAGGAAAGCAGCATTGGGAGGCCGTAAAGTGGATAATGCGGTACTTGAGGGGAACAACGAACAAGCCACTATGTTTCAGGAGGAAGGAGTTGGTGCTGCAGGGATACGTGGATGCGGACTTCGCCGGTGATCATGATACGAGGCGAAGCACCACGGGGTATGTTTATACCTTAGCGTCGACAGCAGTGAGCTGGGTCTCACGTCTGCAGAAGATTGTGACTTTGTCTACAACCGAGGCTGAGTATGTCGCGGTGACTGAAGCAAGCAAGGAGATGATCTGGTTGAACGGGTGCTTGGAAGAGTTGGATCTGAAGCAAGGGAGAGGAGTTCTTTATTGTGATAGCCAGAGCGCTATACATCTTGCCAAGAATCCAGTATATCATGCCAGAACGAAGCACATCGACGTTAAATACCATTTTATACGCTCGCTGATCGAGGACGGAAAGTTGCACTTAATGAAGATTTTGGGGAGTCAAAATCCGGCGGACATGTTGACGAAGGCAGTCACCATTGAGAAACTGGAGTTGTGCGCAACTTCAGTTGGCCTTCACGAGTAGAAGACGAAGGCGGAGCCACACTACGAGGATCAGCGCGATCGTCGGGATGTTGATTGAAGAAAGAATTTTTCGGGGGAAAAGATACATGCGAAGAAGGGGAGAGTTCGGGTGAGCTCGTTGATGACGCTTTGGTCTCCAAGTGGGAGATTGTTAGTCTAAGTGTGTAGACCCAAAGCTGCAATCGAAAAGACGAAGAAAATAGTCAGAAGACTGTGCGGTCGACCGCAGTGGCAGGGCCGGTCGACCGCGTGCACTGCAGGAGACTGAGAAGAAGTTTTCGCTCTGGCCGGTCGACCGGCGTGGTCGCTGCGGTCGACCGATATCGTGCACAAGACCCTGTAGGATTTCGTCGTTCTGACCGGTCGACCGACCTTGGCAAAGCGGTCGACCGCGACGCAGATTCGCTGTTTCCTATTTTATCTAGGAATCCTGTTCTGCTGGGGTTTGTTATAAATACCCAAACGTTTCTAGGGTTTGAAAAGAACATCAAAAAGAGAGCTTTTTGGCTGCTAAGAGAGAGAGAATCTCAGAGAGATTTACCCCTTGTTTGAGAGCTTGTATTTTCTTCTTCAATTAATAGAAAGATTGTGTGGTGTGGCTCCCGAGGACGTAGGCACGTTGCCGAACCTCGTTAAATCTGTGTGTTCGTCTCTTTTACTATTTTTTACAAGGTTAGATCTTTATTTGTGGTTTATTCCTACTTTCCTACTTTCAACACAAGGTCCGGAAGGGCAAGGGTTCGATTGATTGTTTCGAATCCCTAACACTTATCTTGCAAGACGTTCTAAGCAAAGACCCTCCAATAAGACGTTCTAAGCAAAAATATTGAACCTAAGCGTTGCCATTTCGTTGACATGCCATCTGCTCTCGTGAAATAAGGGGCTGTTTGGTTGGTTTCCTAAAAACCAAGAAAAGGAAATCGGTACAAGGGAAATCAATAAAATAATATTTTTATCCATTTCCATCCCTAAAACTCACCACAACATCTAATAAAATATTATTTTTATCCTCCAACTCATCTCATTTCATCTCCTTTCTTACCTTTAAAAATAAACCAAACACAAGAAATGTGTCACATCATCCAACTCATCACATCTCATTTTATCTCATTTTTAAAAATCACACACATCATCCAATAATATTGTGACAACTCATCTCATCTCATTAAACATTCATTTCCATCCATTTTCTCAAAAAAAAAACAAGAAATCAATTTCCTTAAGTACGTGTCACATCATCCAATAATATACCTCCAACTCATCTTATCTCATCTATTTTCTTATTTTTAAAAACGAACCAAACACAAACAACCTCAAAACATCATCCAATAATATACTTCCAATTCATTTCCTTATTTTTTTAACCAACCAAACAACCTCAAAACAAGTTTTTTTAAAAAATCACTCACATCATCCAATAATAAGGTGACAACTCATCTCATCTCATCTCCTATTCTATAATTTCCTTCTTTTTTAAGCCAACCAAACAACTTCAAAACCATTATAATAGGAAATAGGTTTCCTATTTTTTGATTTCCAGGTTTTTTTTGCCAAACGAACAGCCCCTAAGGTAACACTGGCGCACGATCTCCCGTGATGTCAGAACATCGCGTCAACAGCATCCTGCCAGTCTTCTCATAAATGCGCCTCAGATACCCAAGACTGTTCAGTTTCAGTCGGACTCGACCATCCGAGTTCGAGTGAAAGGGGCCAGTATTATATCATATAAATAGTTAAGTGTTAATCCTTGATGGGGAGTCGACATGTGTCCCACCTTAACTAAATGCCAGATCAACCACACTTTATGGAGGACGACTTGAACGGCTTCGGCACTCGACCCTTCCTAAATCAGGGAGCGAGCCGAGAGGCGTCCTCACTCAAACTCACTCTTCAAGTAGATCCTACTCCTCTTCACTTCGCAAGACCGGGTCGAGAACTTTCGAAGCCGACTAAAAAGGTGATACTTATCGGTCGGCTTGCAAGACCGAGACGAAAGACGTAACTTGTCGACCCTCTCAGAGAGATGAAATGAGAGTCGGTTTCTCCTCAAGCCCTCTGTCGACAATCGATTGTTGTCATATTGAATGCATGATCAGAGTCATCACTTCTCTAGCCCCGAAAATCTTTACGACTTATCGGACCTCGTCAATGCCACGCACACTCTGTCACCCTCACATTAAACACCTAGATGACTCATCCCCCTCTACAGTCGACACTTGTAAAGTAGCCGCCGACTGAGCTGCCTGCTTGGACTCAGCCGAAGTTACTCTTCCACCCCTTGGATCTGCTATAAAGAGAAATTGATGTCTACTGCATAGGATAAGCTGACTCTGATTGAAAAACACCATACATTCACTTTCTTTCTTCTCCCCTCAAGCTTGTCACTAACTTGATTGTGGGAGGAATCACTAGAGATCCCAACTCCGACCCCCTCACATGTTGTTCATGTGCAGGATTGGATTCTCTGCTCGAGAGCCTTCCGTCCGAAGAAGATTTTGAGAAACCCTAATATCCTATAGCATCCCATCCAACTCTTTGATAGGTAACATACATCAACAGTTAGATTAGAAGATTTATTTGGTGGTGTGACACAAACCAGAACTTATCTTTAGATTCCTTTCCTAATGACCGGCCGCTGATATGCTGTACCGAAGTATAGTTATCAATAACGATGACGACAAAAACGTGTAACATGGCTCGGGAAGACAGTGGCGTACGTGTAACTCGACGTGAATAGACAACGGTGGCTATTGCTTCTTGTTTTAAGGCATACGGTTTTCCCTTGTAAGTGAGCGGTCTCCTTTGACTACAAGCATTAATTCTTAGCACTCCTCCATTTCTTTCTTTATTATTTTCTTTTTTATTTTTGTCAAGGAATAAATTTCCCGGTCTTCTCCGTTTCTTTCTCTATTATAACAAGGGACTAGATCGGCACAAATTTACCCAAATATCCAGTTGTGCTACCTCCGCCAAGCAACCGAGACGGCGACGGCTTGCTTGTAGAGTTTTCTTCCTTTTTCCTCTTCGCTTCTCCATAAATCATGTTATTATGTCATCCGATCGAGATAACCACGACACCTTTTAATTCAACACGTTTCGGGACCAAAACAAGCCACACCTCTCTCGTCAATATTCCATCCCCACTCGCCAAGAAAATGAGAACAGCCAGCGAACTGGGATTCCAACTGCGCATTGAAAATTGAAAGAAACAAACAAAAAAAAAAGCAGAGAGGGGGAGAGTCCCGTCCCACAAGCCAACTAACCAACTGACCAATCGAACTCCCTCCCTCCCTCTCTTTTCCTTCTCTTCTCCCCCAACCCGAAATTTCCCTGCCTCTGTTAATTCCCTCTTCAAAAGCTCGGTTTCCTCCGAAATTTGAGATGGGTTTCACGCTCGTGACGCCCGTCCAGTTAAAGCACCATAATTCTTTGCTTCCTTCTCCTTCGCGTCTCAATTCCGACCCTCCCCTGTTCCGTGGGAGACGCCGGCCTCCTCCTCCTCCTCCTAGAAGAACCCGCTCCCTCGTCCCGGTAAGCTAGCCACCGATATTTATTTTTTTACATGTATATATATATATGTAGGCATGCATGCGTATGAGTTCTAGGATCATATGATTGGTGATGGTGATCAGAGGGCGAGGCTGTTTGGGCCGGCGATATTCGAGGCGTCGAAGCTGAAGGTGTTGTTCGTGGGAGTAGACGAGGAGCAGAGACGCCCCGCCAAGCTTCCGAGAACCTACACGCTCACGCACAGCGACATAACGTCCAGGCTCACCCTCGCCGTCTCCAACACCATCAACCGAGCTCAGGTACGACTGACGCACACAATTGATCAAACGTTGAGCCTGACAACCAATCGTACATGATTGAGTCACATTGAAATCATTCAAGATGCTATATCATATCAAAGTAGTTGATGCCCAATAGATCATATATAAGTATAATGGTATGTATTAATTACAATTTTGAAAATCCCGATTTTAAAATCTGAATTTACATTGTTGATGGTATCCTAGTTCCTCTTGTACACAAAAATCTTCATCGGTTTGATTAATTTCACCTCGTGGCGTACGCAGCTGCAGGGATGGTATAATCGGTTACAGAGGGACGAGGTGGTGGCAGAGTGGAAGAAGGCGAAGGGGAAAATGTCTCTCCATGTGCACTGCCATATTAGCGGCGGCCACTTTCTTCTTGATCTCATCGCCAACCTCCGTTTCTACATCTTTCGCAAAGAACTTCCGGTGGTGAGAAATCGGAATTTAGATGCTAGTAATTTGGTTATTGACCGTAATTTAACACCAATTTTAGACGCACATGAGGTTTTCTCACTATAAAAAACGAACAAAAGAAATTCAGGAGAAAAACAACACGATGAGCAATTCCTGTAGAGTAGCTTCTCCAATGGCACAGGTAAGGTATAATTTTTCATGTAACAGAACAAATCAATGCAACTAGCTGTCACAGACTGATAGATGCCCTGCAGTCGGTAATCACAACTTGTAATCGAACAGTTCAATCCCTCTCCGATAATATGATAGCTATTGATGACAGTAGCGATTCATTAGGTCCCAAAAACTTTTTGTTCATGTAATTTAGCCATTAATTTAATCTATTCTATACACTGTAATTAGTATTTTAATTTGCTATTAATTGGAAATTAGCACTAACACTGAACACATATCACCAGAAAGAACAAAAATTCTCTATAAAAACTCCTCTGATGATACAGGCTAGGTAGAATTAATGAGTCAAAGGATGTATATGCGCAGGTTCTAAAAGCATTTGTTCATGGAGATGAGAGCCTCTTCAACAGCCATCCAGAACTGGAGGAAGCACTAGTGTTTGTCTATTTCCACTCCAACCTACCAGAGTTCAACCGCGTCGAGTGCTGGGGACCCCTGAGAGACGCTGCTAGCTCCGGAAATCCTGTCAATACCACTAATTCCCTAGAGGAAGCTCAAAATGTTGATGAAGAAACAGTTGCATCGTCGGCTACTTGGGTTTGGCCGCAGCAATGTCAAGTCGACTGTGATTGTTGCTTCCCTCCGCATAGCTTAATCCCATGGCCAACTGATCCTCACGAAGAAAAACGCCAGTCTGCTGGCCAACCACAGCAGAACTGATACTAATTCGTGTAGAGGCCAAATTTCTCTTGACGTTCAATCTTATTCTTTGCCAAGATAAAGAAAAGATCGAGCCGGTGTATGCATTGTCTGTATACATTATTAGTTCTGGTGTTTATTCTATTTTATGGTGTAAAAACGACATAATCTGTAAACAGATATGTATATACGCAGTTGGAAGTTGTGTAGCAGAAACAGATACAGCAGATTTGCAGGTCTAAGTTCTATTGTGCAAATAACATTCGTTATTCTTCTTGTAATATGTCTTTTTTCCTATGTTTATTGCCCACTGTTGGAGTATTGGAATTATACTCATGCCCCTGTTATAAATACATACAAGGTGGGTAAAGCTGTTATCCTTGATTATACAATACCTATTCGTCATTGAATTTTTCAGCTTCTTGTTTGAATCATAGAATCATAGGGAAAAACTAAAACAAAATGTGTACTTTCCATTTCTAATGCCCAACAATTCCTTACATTTCTAAGTGTCCTATTAAAAGGTAAAACTTCATAAAGATGCAAGAGAGAATGATATATATATATATATATATTTTTTTTTTAAAAGAAAAAACGCCAAATGATACCTCTCCATTCAAATTTGAGACTGACTTTTAATTATAGATTATTTGAGTTGGAAAAAAGGGTAGAATCCTCCATACAGCTGAAGTGTATTCACGCTGATTCTACACTTTAGACCAGATAATATACAGCGTGTTTACGTAGTAGAGATCTCACAAGGTAGTAATTAATGCCCCAAGCCCCTGAGAAATGAGGAGAGAGGGCATTAAATATCGCAATGGACCTGCTTCAAACTTTAAAAAGTGGCGCTTCTTGCTTTGTTAACATGTGGGTACTCAAAGCAGCACAAGCCCTCATTATTTTTCTTCTTCTCAAGCAACTCAAACAGCACTAGCTCTCATTATTTTTCTTCTTCTAAAGCAACTCAAGCACAAAAATGTTAACTACTTATTTCCTATGAAATGAAAATTACGAGGATCTTAGAGAGGAGGAAAAATGATTATGACGTAATAATCTTAGGGGAGGATGTAAGCAGTTGAGTTGACAATCTAGAATGTGAACATTACATGACAAAATAGTAAATAAAGAAACAATAGTCACACCAAACTGTGTACACGCTCCAAGGGACCGAGACGGCGTGCTTGTGGGCTGTCACGACGCATATACTGCACATCGGCTGATCACAACAACTTCATAACCTTCATGTCTTGATAAAGGTACAACATGAACTTAACCTATAGGAATGTGCATGATTGGTCCGTGCCTGGCACAACGATGTAGCCACCAAAAACGAACCACCAATATGAATGTGATGGTCATCGATACACCTATCACAATACAATACTAATTATTAGCCACCAATTGGCGTCCTATGAGGAAGTGTCGCCAGTGGAAGCATTGTCGACACGATCAATTAGATCCCCTCGGTCTTCTTATGGCAGTCAATCACTCAACATTATGGACTCTGAGAAGCCTGCGCTCGAACTATAGAGAAACAAGCAAACCACTGAAAAAAGAACAAAATCAAATACACAAGATTTGCATGATTGGACGGTCTCCTATGTCCATAAGGAGAGAGTTGGGTCTTCTTCTACTAGAGATTATACAAGATATAATCTTTCTTGCATTCTTGAAGAAGAAACCCTCACTCAATCTCATCGAAAATATCTCTTCCTAATTTCTCTACCACACTTTTTTTGGGAAATAAAGGAATAGAGAGAGTTAAAAACACCATAACTGATAAATTTAAAATCTGAAATACTTTACAATACTACTGAATCGTCCACTGAATAGAGGACTAGCCCCGAAGAAATTATGGTTCACCTATGGTAGCGTTGGGTCTGCACAATACTTCTGAGGATGAGATGATAGTAGTTCGAAGAAGCGCTCTCTTCTACTGAACACCTTGATTGCAACTTCACTTCCCCGGAATCTATAATACTAGCAGCTTATAGAATTGTAAAAGGAGGACAGGAGAAAAATTTTGTTTATGTAATCTGTGTTTTTCAAATGAGTAGAGGAGACCCTTTATATAGGGTTCAGATGAGCTGAGGGGTTAGACAATGCTTTGAATGCTAGTTATTGCAACGTTTGTAACGTCTGCTATAACTATCATTCAAACGTTGTAACATTCGTAACGTACGAAACGTTTAGGTTGGTTAAATGCAGCACATGTAAAAAGGGCATACGACGGACCGCGCGTCAGACCACTCTCGAGCCCGTGCTCTCTAGCGCCCGTTCGCTCGCTCGCTTTCACACTTGCTAGCATACCAACACAAGCGTATATTTCTAACATTGCTGTTATACCATTTATAACATGTGTATTAATTTGAACAATTTAAAATGCAATGTGGTACTAAGATTGACATACTACTAGTTAAACACCTTTAATTTCTATTTATGGAATCCAACCATATAAATGATATCCTTCCATATAAATTCTCCATTATTCATTTTATTGATACCAGCTATCAAACATGGGGTTTATTTGTGGATTAAAATAGAGTTATGGTCCTCAAAATCCTTTAGATGACTAGCTCTATAGGTTGCTATTCTTCCCTGCACATGAAGAACTCATGAGAGGCCGAAGTTAAGTTTTCTGGTTGTTCCTCCAATGATCAAGTATGTATATGAACTTGACTGGGACAATGTGAGATGGAAAAAATCTCAAAGTTGGTGTTGAAGACCAGAGGGTTTACCTTGAGTTGCATGACTTCTTTATATAGAAGATTAGAAGGGTAGATAGGTAACTTAAATCGAGTCTAGGCAAGCAGCTGACTTGGCAGATAACTGATAAGTGTTGGCTGCTGGCCGAAGATGGGTCATCCAGGTGGCTAGTGCAAGGTGACAGGTGGCTAGTGCAAAGCGACAACAGATGCTTGGTATTGACGAAGCTTGATGAGTTATACATACTTTTGGGGGTGGAGTAATAATGATTTTTGACCATGTATTTAATACGATGGTGACTGACTTTTGGTTGGGGGGCTCGAGAAAGACAACCATTTGACTTGGCATGGTGAGAAGGGACGACTCGGCTTGGCGAGAAGGGACGAGTTTGGCTGCTTGTTGAGAATGGACGACTCCTTGTGAGAAGGGCGAGAAGTACCGCCTCTTCAGTCATCTGGTGGAGGGCCGATTAACACCGCCTCTTGATTCAATTAAATTAAAAAAATAAAATAAAAAAAATAAAAACAATGGGGATGTCCTGCTTTACTGCCTCACATTCTTTTGTTTATGTGGGTTTTTATAAAATGAGATGCCTGAATCGGGCTTTTTGTATGCGCATTTATCTGCGCCACTACAATTCTTGACGGTAGTTTTGGAACATTTTCTCCTAAAAAGACCTTCATGAAACAAACAAAACATATAGGTTTAGTCCCAAATTGAAATAAAATTGAAAAATGATAACCATTCCTTATTTGATAACGCTCACTCCCCCAATCATGGACAGTGTGGGTGTGTGCCAAGGGGCCAATGCTTGCTCTCCTCCTCTACCAAGCCTAGTGCTTTTGACCACTGTATACAGCTAGCACATCATTTTTGCAGGAAGCCAAGAAGTTAAGGGGCTGTTTGGTTGTAAGTTTTTACTATGTAAAAGGATAGAAAGTATAAAAAAGTGGGTCCCAATGTCAGCTTTCCTTCTTTTTAATTGTTTGTTTGTAGTTGTAAAAATAGTGTAAAGTGATTTACTATGCTAATATGGCATGGATTCATAAATCCCTTCAAAATGGTCTGATTTTGAAGGAAAGCTGACATATGTGTCAGAAGTGAGGGGGCAAGGCCAATGGAATCATTTGAGTAGGGACCACACAATAACCACTTTTACACTTTTCAAATAAGCAATTAAAGTTACATTTTGCAAACCAAACAAGCAATTTATGATTCTAATAGAATTAAAAACTAACAAAGAATAATTGCTCAGTGAAATTGATTAGGTGGGCAACAACTTTCCAAGTTGTGTCATAAATACAGAACTTTACCAACAACAATCAAACAACCCCTAAACACATGCAAGAAAAGCTTTTGTCAGTTTGGGCAAAAGACAAATTGTCGGATACTTCCTGCTTTATTGTCCATTACAATCTTTAAGCAAAGCATGCAACGGGCATCAGAAAATGGGAGAACTGCACTTGGGGGTTATAATCTCAGTGAAGCCCGTGAAAAATTGGCCACCTTTTTGCTGATTCATTATCAAATTATGTTAATTGGAAGGATTTTATTTTTTTGACCGGTTAACTTAGAAAGTTCGTTGCTTTCTCTGGCTCTTTTTTACAAACTAGTTGAGATGCACGTGCAATGCACGTGGTTAAATATCATGAGATGAGATGCACATGCAATGCACGTGGTTGGATATCGTGATTATTTAAATTGATAAAAATAAAGTAAAAATAAAAAATAAAATAAAGTTTTTTGTAGGATTAATCATCAACTCAATAATCTCTCTCTCAAATAAAATATTATCATTGTTTTCTTCAACCCAGACTGTGGCTACGTGATCTACTATTTATGAGTTATAAACATATTAATTTAGTACAACATCTCTATTTATTAGTATATTAAAGTCTTCAAAAGATGGATGATCATTCACTTCGCAAAAGAATTTTGCATATGAATTTACTTGCAATATGTTCATTAAACTTTTAGTTGTGGTTTGACTCATATTCATGTTAACTTTTAGTTGATGTTTGCTCATATTTATATTATCTAATATTCTCATTTAATTTTATAGCTCATTCTCTGTATTATAGAAATAAAACTAAAGGTATGAAGAATTATTTTTTTTATAAAATTAGAACAGGGAGATTATGATATATTTCGTCATGTGCTCTAAATATAAAAATTTCTTTTTTTATGCAAGGTCTCTATCAAATCTTACCCCAAACGATGTGAATAAAAAATATTATTATAACTCACTTGCCTAGGATAATTATATTATATACAGAATACATAACTCATCTAGAATATCCATATCTCCTAAGTGGATTTTGCTGTTGTGAGAGTAACATGTTAGAGGTTCGTATTCAAACTTTTTGGCTCTATAAAAGACACAATAATTTAGAGTACATAGCTTATATATTGTAAAGAGCATATCAATTCATGAAGAATTTTTTTTTCTAATAATGATATTATTATAATGATATTACTATTCAATATTAAATTAATTTTATTATATAATATTATATGATCTTTTTTAATAAATTATAAAGTATATATATATGAAAACCTCGATGCTTATAACCATTAGTTAGGCTCCACAAAAT